GCACAGCATGACTGGATTAGCAGCTGATGCACTGTGTTAACTCAAGTTTGAAGTCTCTCGCCACTTCTCTATTGCATTACCAATTTAAACATCAGTAGCACTTGTTCTTCCAAACAGGCTTCCGAAGCTGAAGGACTAGCTGACTCAAGTGAAAAGCACTTGACAAAACTGGAGGTTTTTGTGGGTGACTGACAATGGGTTACCAGTAATATTTGAATTGGGTCTCTAGTTAACACTTCAGTGAAGACAGATCCTTATTTATTTCAGAACTTATCCTGAGACTACATTTGCAGACTCTGTTTAAGATTTTTTATATTCCTTTTTTCCCCATAAAATATTTATTTTCTCAACTACTTTTATGAATGTGTAATTAACACCATGTTTCTAAGTTTACAGAAGAGGCTGCTTTTAAAGATATTTTGAAACATACATTTTGCATAAACTATTTCATATATATATATATATATTACTTTTAAAAGGTTCTTTCTCATACAGTACACATTTCTGAGAAGGAATCACATACAGATTACCTAGGTTAGAATCCTTACTTGCAGGAGTTTTATGTTCCAAATTTCAGTCTTTATTCCTTTGCAACAGTGAAAGAGTTAATCTCACATCTAAATGGGAGTTTGCTCTTAATAAGAAAGCATTAAAGCAAGCCAACAATAATAAGCTAAACGAAGGCCATTCTTTTGCCTTCTGTCAATATTTTCATAGTGACAAATAGATCAAACACAAGATATTTTTTAAGGCTCTTATTTTTTCCCTCTTTGTAAATCATAAATGCTTTGGTATATTCAATTTCAAAATGAGTTCCCCATGGATTTGGGTAACACAATGGGTTAAAAACCTTCCCAAACTCTGTTACATCTTAGATGGAAAAGTACACAAAATGTTCTTGTGCTGTTTCCCTCCACTCATTTGCTAGCTGTTCGTCTTTCCCCTACACCTTAAAGAACCAAGCTGTCTGCATTAGCCAAAATAGTTCCATAGTCCTGTCCTGAGACTTCAAAATGCTGTAATACATTTTTATAAGTAAACAAAAGATTTTAGACTATATTCAGAGAAAAGTATTCCAGTGCTAAAGTATTTTCTATATCACACAGATATAGCTAGCATAATATTCATGTGGGAAGAGAAAGAAAATTCATTCCTGCCATATAAACTCAGGCCTTGAAAAGTACCATGAATACCTGCATTTTGTGACAGTCTGCACAAGCACTACTTGGTGTTTGTGAGGAGAAAGGCTTGAAATGTTCCAGAAGACCCAACAGCCTGTTACTCTTGAATCTCTACTAGATTTAAACCACCTTTCTAAGCAAGGTCAGAAGCTTCTGACCCCTGAGCAGTATTCATAAGACATGACTAACTTTTCCATGCAACAGCATAAAGACAACAGCTCCCTGGCCAGACTTGGAAAAAGATCCCTCTTGCCTGTCAGAGGGATTTATTTAGTGGACTTGAATGTCCTTTCTCCTGCCCTTCTCTTCTTACTGGTTGGTTGTACACTACTGGAGAGCTCCCGAATGATCGGTACAGCCCTTAACAACAAGGGAGCTGGGAACGGCTTTAACATGTGGCCACAAGCCTTCCGATAATGCAGTAAGTTAGGGGTTGTTTTTTCCCCCATTGTATCTGTTTAATGGTAAGTTCTCCTGGAAAAGGCTTTTGCATGAACATGAACTCTGGTCCAATTGCAGACGGAAATGAAGGCAGCGGTGGCAGTGGCGGCGATGAGACAGCCCAGAGGTCTCCTGGATGGGGTTATTGCCATGGCCACAATCCAGAGGGCAGGCCTGCCTCCTCCCTCATGCAACCGCATCAGAGAACAGAGCTTTAAAACTAGAAGTAAAAGTGTCCAGAAAAGGTTTCTGCTTTATAAGCTGCCGACTCCTCCAGCTGGCCCTGGGCAGCAGCGATGCCCACCAGCATGAGAGGGCCCTGGGATTGCCACTTCCCTGCGTGATGTGAGCCCCACCCCGCTCTCATCTGAGGTGAAAGTACATCCTCGGGAAAATTTGCAAGAGAGATGAGAATAGAAACAAATCACAGGCAAATGGCGCCCTAAGATCTAACAAATTTCTTTGGAAACAGTGACATACAGTGTGAGCACAAAGTAATGCGAAGTTCCCAAGAAACAAAAGCTCCAAAAGCTTATGAATTCCAGCTTTAGGAAGGATTCAGATTTGGTTATTTACCATGTATGTAAAACAATTGAAGTGGCCTTTTTGCTGTGTTTATTTTGGAACTGGCTATTTTTAAGGTCGCAGTCCCTGCTAAGGGAGGAAACTGTATCTCTAGGGTATTGGGAATTAAACAGAGGAAAGACAAAGGCACAGAGAAACTAGCTGCCTTACACAGAGAGCTCAAATACTTTGTTTCCTTCCTTGTTCAGCCTGTAGTCAAAAAAGAACTTTACAGTAAACACTGACTCATGCTTTTTAAAAAACAAATGCAATCCTGAGTTTCACAGGAATTCTGTTTTAACTTTTTCCCTCTCAGAACCCCTTCTGATAAACTGCAATATTACTACTTGTTAAGTGGCTTTTACAACTTCAGAAGTTAGGCTTACCACTCTCCTCTGTGGTAACTACTGTAATGGGACCTCTGTCAAGCCAAAATTTTGTGCAGTATTTTGCTTTGGAGATACAAATAAGGAGGTGTGGGGAAGGCAGCAAATGTTTTTGGAGTCTTGTAAAAGCAGATTTTTGAGACAGAAATCAGCTATTGCACAGGACACACACAGCACTGACACCAAAGACTTCTGTGCCATGAACCAGAGGAAACCAGTGCTGAAGAGAATAGAGAGGATGTGAGGACAACCAAGGCAACTGCACTGTAAATAAGTGCAGAACTTATTACTCTTATTAGCCTGCAGTCTGCTCTGTCTGTGTCTGTCAAGGTCTTCTGACCTTGAGAAGGTCACAAAAGATGTTACCACAGCAAAGCTACACTGCATGGCTGACAAAAGGAATTCACTCTGGAGTCTTTGGTGTCAAAAAATGTAAAGCAGGATCAATGCCAGCAGCTATACAAAAATAAGCTTTATAATTGCTCATTTGCAAAATACCAATGTTATTTATTTAAGCAACTATGACCTTTTTGATGCAGTAGTAATGTAATGATTGTGTGTGGATGTCAGAAGAACATCATGACAATACAACGTTAATATCTTAGATCAGGTATTGCCCAATTTATTTTTGCTGGGGTAGCATCCCTATAGAAACAGAACTACAGCTTTACCTCACTATACTACAGAGTAGTACTTACCGTACTACCACAGCTGTACCTCACTGAGGCAGGGTTTACAGCTGTTTCCAATTCTGTCCCAATTCTGTCTGCGTTTGTGTTGGATGCAATTCTCAGGCGTTTTTTTCTCATGTGTGAATCATGAGAAATACACCAATATTTTGAGAATCCTCTTATCTCGCCTATATTCTTCTAGTTGCATCCCAGATTATGGTACATGTCGGGCATGTTCTTTCAGCTGCACTGCCAAGAAGCATTATTTTATGATACACAAGATTTAGATAGGTAAAGCATGTACAGGGAAGGAAACACATATATACAACAGTCCAGAGGACAAGTAATATCAGCTAGAATAGGTTATGGAACAGTGTGACTATAACAAAATCAGAAAGGCGAGGAAGTGTAGGAAGATACTCCCATGTCTGGTACACCAACAGACATCATCTGTTCTCCATTGCTTTTACAAAAATGTTGTTAGTAAGATGTAATGATTAATGGAAAGTCTGTACTAGCTACTTGGGCCCAATAGGGGTAAAGAACACCAAGAAACTGCAGCAGTTATCAAAACGGGAAATGAAAAGAAACTCTGGAAAAGGGTGGGGTGGATAGATCCTTGTACAAGAGTTCTACAGAGTGGAAAAGTAAGGAAGAATTTATCCAGATGACTTTTAAGACAGGGTTATTTTGCTTCAGAAACATAGTTATCTCATTCTCAAGCATCATAGCAAGAAACTATCTACATATACTAAATTTATCTTTAGGCAATTGCTATATGTCCATATGCAGGCTGACTTGAGTACAGTACATACCTGTACCCTACTTTCCAGTAACATATAAAGGCTAAAGCTTTTTCTTTTAGTCACCTGTGTATATATATTCTGCTATAAACATTAATGTAAGTTTGTAAAAATACAGATCAGAACTGACTGCTATTGGTGTAAAGGGAAACCATGTGACTTCTCAATCCCTTTTAACACATTAGTAGGCTTTATTAAAGTCAAGTAACATTGTTAGCTATATTAACACAATTAAACAATCCTTAAGTTGTAAGGGAACTTGTGCATGACAGTATAAGAGTATCAGTAAATTTAAGAACTAATATCATTACAAACCATATGGCTACCACATTAAAAATCAACCTTTTAAGAGTTCAGGAAGGAGCTTAAAAGCCTGTGAAGCATATTTAGATAGTGAAGACCTAAGAATTAGGTGTGTGTTGTGGGAGTAGCTTTATTTCAATTTTGCTGTATAGTAGTCAATACATAGGTCTAAAGTCAATGAGAAACTCAAAGTCAATGAGAAACTCCTCAAGCAGATGATATTATTCAATGGAGTTTGAATGAATGAAAATATTCCTTCTAAGATACACAGTAATGTAGGCTGGCCAAGAAAGATATTGTAACAGAAATATGCAAATAATTAATTCTGAAAGAATGTGGAAGCTGCATAAATATGAAAAGCACTGTGTTACGCTTAAACAAAACCATAATGCAATGCTGAGGGGCTGTTAAGTTTTCTAGAAGTTTAGGCTTTGGCTAAATGTTCTAACTAAGCATACCTTGGAGGAATATGCCATTTTTCATTCGCCACCTATCAGAAAGCATAAACACTTTCCAAAAAGTGAATAGCCTACTATGCTTTTATCAATGTTTCTTAAAAGTATGCTTTAACTACAAAGCAGCAGAAAAACAATCTGTTCATGTGAAAGATCATTTTCTCAACTTCTTAATGGACTTAGATGACTGACTTACCAATGCTTCTCTTTGGAGTCATGCTACTTCTCAGGCTCCCTTGTTAGCTTTGACACTGCATCTGACACTGAATAGACAATGGCAAGCAGATTCTGGTTTGCATCTTATCAGTGGACCTAAAATAAATAAAATTATTTTGTTCAGAATTATTTTTATTCTCCATGCTTCCAGGAACATAAGCAGTGTCAAAATTCAGCAGTGACATTTGAAAATCCCACTGGGATACCAAAGACAACATCCCAAATCATGAGAAGCCAGTTCCAAATGAGTCTATACAAGATGGAACTAAGTGAAGGCAATTTTAAAATATGGTCTCATCTACAAAAGCTTTTTAACCATAACACTTAGAGCTCAGCTTACTTCCAGGAGTAAGTCTGAAGCTCAATTAATTTTCTTGTTAGACGTGCTTTCAGTGACATACTGTTAAAAACATGACCATTGCTTAAAAAAAAAAAAAAAAAAAAAAAAGAAAGAAAAAAAAAGAAAAAAAGGAAAAATATCAATTTCTGAGTTTCAGATTTTCACTGTGACTATTACAAAAACTATCCCTCATTCCACATTTTTTATTTATGAACAGCATGGCTCATGCACTTTCGTACTGACCAGCATACTTTAATAAAAGCAAAAAGCTTTAGTTTTTTTGTGTCTGAATCAGGTAAGCCTGCAAGGCAGCAACACTAAGTGTCAATCTACTTGTGCTGTATGGTCTTGATTTGATACCTTAATAATTCGATCCACTGTTTTTAAATAAATCAAAAAAGATAACATATAGAATTGGTAATCAGATCATGAATCCCCTTCTCTGCACAGCAATATTGGACTCTGTAGAAAGAATAAAATATTCTGATAATCCCTTCAACAGGTATGTAATTTACACATTCTATTTTATATCAACCGTTTTCTTAGTTGCTAGAATATCTGGCACAAGTATGCGAAGTAAAGAATTCCTGTTGCTTTGCATGCAAGAAACTACATGTAGATTGTGGGGAAAAAAAAATCACCTAACTTCTACAGTATGCTTTGTTACCTAGGAACAATCCCAAACCACCTCTCAGAACTGTTCAAAGGTTCTATCGTAACTGCTCAGTGCACTTAATGTTAGATCACTGAGCTGCAAAATCAAATCATAGAGACAAAAATGTTTGCTATGTTTGTAATTACTCCAAACATCCCACTACCAAAACCAAAAATACACCTTCTTCCTCTGCTAGAAAGTTGTTGTGAATGTAGTTTTAGCTCCAGGGAACCAGGACTGCTCTTCATAAGTAAGGACACATTATAGCACTAGTCTTTTCTGTCACCCTCAGATCTGTAAATTTGTTAGGAAGAAAAGAAACAATAAACCTTCCTTCAAGAAAGAACTAGTGCCAAAATCTACACTGAAAAAAAAAATCTAAAAATCTTCTGTACAGATTAAGTTCCATTCAGGACATGATATCCTCCTTTTTCTGTGACTGAACTCTTACCTTATACCTCTTTAGAATGTTACACGGAAATACGTTTTCTCATTCTTCCTGTGTGAGAGCTGTTAAAAAAAAAAACCTGCCGCTAATGGAAACAGCAGCGAATCCAACAGTAAAAAAGCCTGTAAATGTCATTGCTAAAATATTTTCTAATTAACAAGCAAAGCACACACATGATGGAATCTGATTTGTGTTTTACTACTTTTAGTAAATTGTGAAGTTTTAATTTCAAACTATGACGTGCTTACCATTTTGCTAAGGAATTACTGCTTTTTAACATATCATCACCTAGCTCCAGTTGCTGTATTATTCACATGTTCTTTCAACCTTTCCCAAGGTATGCCTCATAAAAAAAAATAATCTGATGTAGCTTGCTCTCTTAAAGGAAAAGGTTTAAGTAGCACTACAGCAACAAAACATAATAACTGCATTCATATTTCTTTTTCTCTCATTTCCTTGTTTCTAAAGACATCAAGTAGTATTAATACTCTAAACAGTAGCTGTTGTTATTATTCACCAGAACACCTGAAAAAAACGTCCTGATGCACCTTACAATGTATTAAAATCATTCACAATTAGTTTGATTGTGTCCTTCACGTTAAAGGGAGTATACCAGGATCCTGACTCCTAAGATATAATTTATGACAGTTTTCATTAAGAACCTGCTGCTGCAGGTACTTAATAGGTAAAACATTTTTTATTGCTCAAAGTACTGCACTGAAAACACATATATGAATTTAAAAATCACATGAGGTTATGTATGTATCTAACTACTTCTGTCTCATCCAGACAGAGATTTTTGTATATTCCTTGCCTAGACTCTGGTAGTTACCTACCAACAGTTATGGTTTGGCTAAAAAAACAAACAAACAAAAAAAAAACTCACCGCTGCTTTACTGTGATTTGATTTTTAAGGGAGGAGTAAGTAGTTTTGCTAATGACATTTTCCAGAAACTGCTTCTGATACATTCTTTCCCTCCCAAAAATCAGTTTTATGATTATCAGTACAAATTGGGCTCTCAAGAATAACTGTTTTCTTAAACATACAATATGAAGTTGAACAAATCAAAGTCTCCAATTTTCTTCATACATTTTTTTTCACAATGGATTCATAAGTATTTCTGAAAATCTATATTCTAAACGTTATCTTTAATGAACAGTATTTTTAAAAGATACTGTAAAATAAAAATAAATAACAACTTTCTAAATTATAAATAATAAATTAAAAAGAGAACCAATACTTAGCATCCACCATGAAGGCTATCACCTCTAACTGCTCTGTTTCTATAAGGAAATCATAGTTTTATGCCACCACTACTGAGAACCTAATATGAGCCTGATCCTTCGTACCTAAAATGCCTTGCCTTTTCTTGAGAATCAAAGCCAGCTTTGTTATGGTTATCACCTTCAACTGCCATATGTGTCCTGCAACCCCTTAAGTACCATAACTTCTTGCTTTTCCTAAAAAAGGGGATGCTGGTGTTTACACTGTATTTTGCATGCCTACAAAGAGCAAGTGCTCATTTCACAGATTAAACAGGTCTTCTCCAACTGTAATTATAATGTGCATATTGCAATGCTGCTGGAGATTTCCTTCTGCTTCACTCATTTATATCACAATCCATTATAACCAACATACACTTATGCACATATATATCCATAAAATGCAGATATCCTCTGAAATACAAATTAAGGAACTGTTGTTGGTGACAGTCCGCTCTTTTGTCTGTGCATTACTAGCAGAAGAACAGCAATGCTTAATGAATTTCAATCAGAAATTAACAAGAGGAATGAAAAGTATTTTATGTATTTCCCTTTTTTCATATGTGTAACTAAATCAGGTGTGTCTTCCTGGTGTTCATGCAGATAGATGCTGTTTTCATGGAGTTATAAATAATCACTGAGACTCTCATCACAAAACAAAGTGAGAGAGAGCAAACACAGAGAGCAAACAGCTGAGGGAAAATGGCAAGTTAAGCATATCCTTTTAGCTCTTCCATATTGTTAATTTTTCACTAGTACATCTACCTAACATGAGACTTAAACTGAATTCCAGTTTAATTTCTCCCTAGACTGTTTGTTCTGGAGACATCCTATTTAAATATGTACTCATTTTCTTCATGTCATGTTATGTGTTTCTTCCATGGGAGTGCAGTGTGTTGTCTTGAGAGGGTAATGCAGGTAACATTTAATATGTAATATGTAATTGTACAATAGTAGTAGCATTTAACAACTCTCAATTCCACTGTCTCTATTAATTCTCGCAGAATATACCCATATAACTGAGGCCACATACTCTGGGACTCTGAAACACTGCTAACCATTTTTAACTCCAAGCAGCAGAGATGGAGAGTGAACTCAAGAGCAATCAAATTGTACAAAGACAAAAGACTAAAAGAAGTCTGTGTCCTGGTTCCAAGATCCCCCCTTAGCATTTTCTCTCATCCTCCCCAAAATACAATGTTTGTATAACCGTTAAGGACCAAGAAAAAAAGCAAACTATCCATTAAATACACTGGAGTTTCCCTTTCAGTACTGTTTAATGTTTCGGTTGTAATTTTGCACAGAACATTCATTAATTCAACAGCAAAACAATGTAAGAGTCACAAAGTGTAAGAGAAAATCTTGAATTTCTATTGTCTTTGTCTGAGTACACACTTACTAGACACTAACAGACCCTTATCTAGTTCCAAAGATGTAGATGAAATATGTAAACTAAATGATGTATCAACTAATATGCACTACTAAACACAGGTAGAAATCCAGAAAAATTCAGTTAACAAAAAGATCACCCTCTGCTTTCTCCTAGCTAGTGGTAAACACTGCTTTACACAATATTGTTACATTTTCCAGAATATTACACTGAATTTAGCAACTGCTCTAACTGCATTCTGCATTCTAATATTATTTCAGCAAGTGTCACTGAAGTAGCGTGATGCAAATTGAACTTTTATTCTCGTTTGTACTTCTACATTCTCCTAAACTGTACCCCTGCCATGAAAAGTACAATGCAAATGGTAAATTCAATAAACTCTGTACTGTTCACCACTCGCACAACACAGGAATGATTCGAAGAGGTTAGGCATATGACTAAAATTATGCCTTTAAGTGGTCCTCTACATCTCATAGAAGCAAGTCACCAGAAAGCCATTGAACCCTGGCCAAAAGAAAAATGAAAGTCCGTGCAACAAGTGTATCTGTTGCCCAAATCCAGTTTCAATTCCACCACCAAGAAAAGCAAGCTGTGCTTGCCTACGTGCTGGTCTGTACAGAAGAGCTTAGAAAACTATGTCCTCCTGGCCTCTGTATCCCTCAGAGGCTGCTGAGACTATCACTGCCTACCACATGGCTGGTGTGAGATCTGTGGCCCAAGGAGGAAACAGAATGAGTTCTATGGCAGGTGGCTCAGAGAGCAAGTTCATACATGCTGGGCAGAAATTCAGCCTTTCTAAAAACCTAGGAGGATCTCAGTATCCACTCCTCTTGGGGAACACGTTTTGCAGGTACAAACAGAGTTTCAAAACTACCTCTGTAAACAAAAGCTAATCGACTGGCATGTGCCAGGTTTGGTCATACTCTCAAGTTAAACACCTTACCTGAGCCCTGACACCCAACGAAAAGACTCAAGAAAGCCTTCCTGCAGTTGGACGCAAGTTTTCTTCCAATATTAACACATTAGCTCTTGAATACTGCAATGTGGATGAACATCTGAAAATAGTATGGCTTTGTGAAAATGGTATACCTGCATTTTACACATTTTTACTTTAATTATCTAAGCAGAAAGAAGATTAAGCATCTAAATTTAGAAGTTTAAATTCATTAGATTTGTAAGTTTATTTATCTAAGCAGAAAAAAAATAGCAACAGAAAAATAATTAAGAATATTTTCAATAATCAAAGTGACAGTAACTAACAGTATGTGGGAAAGGGAAAATTCGTATTTTAATATGCAATATTAATATAATACCTGCTTAGGATGGTATTTGAGAGTTTACACAAATATTTCAACACTCTAAATTGCATCTTCTCTGAACAATATCATACTCACATTTATTATCTTTATCATTTTCATTAGAACAGAAAGCTAGTAATTATACATTCAATTTCAATATCCTTAAAGTAATAACAAAGCTGTACCTTTGCCTTTACCCTCTGTCCATCTCTGCTGTGCCCAGGACTATTTTCATCAGCAAATGATTCCCTTAAGCTATAAATGCACAGTAAGATACATAACTGGCTGCATGACTGAAATGGCTTCCGGAAGGAGGATGCAAAATCTGAACTGTCACCTCCAACTCTGTTTCTCAGTGACACCGAGGCAGAGTTCCACAAATAGCTGGCAAGTTAAATTAAGAGGTTGTATGATGTCCTGCCAGGGTCTTTACTAGGCTTCTAGAGTACAAAGGTTATATACTATTTATTTATAGAGAAGGATGATACTGTACGAACCATTTGAGGTTTCAGTAAGCTTTAGCTTCTAACCCAAGTGGTGCTGTGATTCTGTGCAATAATGCAATGTACACTACTACATTTTCAAAAATGGTATTAAAGTACACTCATGACTGAAAGGTGTTCTCTTTAGCTAATGTATGATCTTGATTCAAGAAAAAAAAAAGAGACATAGAGACATATGCTTAAATCTCCCTCAATTTGTACAGAGCTTACCTTGTATTATGGTTTAAATGAAATTTACAGAAGACTTCTGTCTCTTTGATACAGTTAGACTGAGCAGAGCCGAGATGAGGACTACCTCTACATGTTTGTACAATGCTTAGCACGGCTATGTAGTTTTTCTCCAGACATAAAATGACTTACTCTTCTGCAGTCACAAAGCACACTGATTGAGATGTTCTAAGTATAAACAACATGAGCCCATCCTCCTCAGCGGTAGCATATATGACTTTATAATTCAAGAGTTGGTAAGATTTGAGTCTCACACCAGTTCTGCCATTCAGTAAACTGTAGCCGGTTGGTCATAGCACTCCTGCTTTGCCTCTGTTCTCGTGGGACAGGGTAGCAGAGCGCTAATGTTTGCTAGACAGCTGTTGTGTGGCTTAATTATCTCCACAAAGGAAAACAGAATTACTGCAAATTGTTGTTCAATGACTTGAAATGCATGCAATGTCTGTCGATTATATCAGCAAATCAATTGGTATTTTGAGTACATACAAATACAGACTGTTCTCAAAAAAAAAAAAAAAAAGCAGTTTTTCCCTTTTTAGTTAAAGAAGGATCTAATGTAGACTTAAGTCATGCGATGGACCCTGCTTCTCCTCCCACTCTTTGCAAATAACCAGGCTGGAAAACTAAAGCATATTGTGCCTCTCCCTCCAGACACTGTTTTTATTTTAACATCAGTGATTTTCAAACCTGACAGAGCCTTTAATATGACATAATAGGAAGGTGAATGTCAGTCCCAAGAGTCAGAAAAACACTCCATTTTAACCTGTCTAAATGCAGCAAACAGCTTCAAGAAAGAAAATGAACGGACAATTACTTAAGTATTCTGGGTTAAGATACTTTTATTGCATCTGTACAGACCTTGAGTATATATGAGACATATGCTCACTAGAAGATATATAAAGACACTGGTTTTAGAAGTTTGTATTAGAGATTTTTTTGCTTAGGTTGCATTAATTGTGCTGATAAAGAGTATTTTAACAATTCAACTTTGAAATAAATTCATTTCCTCCCTTATTTGAAAATAATTAGTGATTTTCCTTAGACAACAAATCTGGTCATTTCTAGCCCTAACCAATCTCACAATCATGTTTTTCATGGTGTCTTTTTACAGTGTCTTGATGGGCAGTAGCATTTTCTGAATCTATCGATCCTCACAGTTGCCTTCTGATTTCCCCTCAACAGGAACACATCATAGGAGTAACAATCCCCATTTTTATCTCTCCTGGAATCTTTAGCTAATTTTGACATTTCTTTTGATGGTTTCCATCTTTCACTGCCAACAACGTACTTGCTCATGGCATTTTCTTACATTTTTCTCCAGTTGTTTTTTTTTTCTTTCCATCTTTATGATGGTTTTCTATTCCTTCTGAGGCATTTCCATTACTGTTTGCTTCTTAGAAACAAACAAACAAAAAAATGTATTATTTAAAATATAGGATTGAATGTCTAGGTTCATTTCCTGCACTGAAGCATAGTTTTTATGGTTTTTTTGAGGAAATTTAATTGCAGGCCGATATTTCAGTGCTATAAGCCCACTGCTGATGTCAGACTTTCAAGAGCTCTCAGCATCAACTAGTTCCAGCTTCATATCTTATGATCAGACAGTGCCAGTAGAGCCAAGCATTTTTGAAAGTTCAGCCTTTCGTTCTGCTGTCTAAATAGGATTTCAAATTTTTTGACACTCTGGTCCTAATCTTTCAGTGTTCCAGTATGCTGTATGAAAAAAAAAAAAACAGTATTTGCCTTGTCCCAGGCTTTATCTTTGCATGAAAGGAATTTAGGATACAGATGATCAAATATTGTACTACACACAGCTTGCCTTGAGTTTCAACCTGGAACTCTACTATAAGACTCATGTAAGAATACCACTGTTACATAATGTAATGTCATATGTTCTATTTACTATAATAATTTGCCAAAAAGAAGGCATTTGACATTTAAGACAGTTCAGTTTCAGTGCACTAAAACTTGCAAAGTCTGTTTGCATTAAGAAACCCTCTCAAAATGAAAAAAAAAAAAAAAAAAAAGGAGAAACTCCCACAGTCAGACAGACTTTACAGTGATTTAGTTAAAATCAGCCTCTCAATGTCATGATTTTGTAAGGATGTGTGTTTGGCTGGTCATTTGGTTTTGCAGGAGATATCTTAGCAGTCTGAAAAACCACGCGAGTAAATAGTAATTTTAATACTTTGCTCTTTACACTGCTTTGCATTCAATGCTCTTAACAAGTTTTACAAACACAGCAAAGACACATTCTTTTTATTTAGCAAAAGATGCCACAAAGGGGTTATTGTGTCTGAGAACAAAGAGCAGCTCTGGCAGTTGCAGCCAGCTCATTTCAAGCTCTGCACTATGCCCATTCCAAAGGACAGATAAACCTGCTCACTCATTCTATCCATAACCTAAGAGTTCATTGATGGACAGAGGCAACAGCATTACACAGATTCTAATGTTATGAGCCAAAGAGCTTAAGAACAGTCTCACCTTAAACATGCTTTGTGACTTTTGGCAACGTCCTAACTCACTATCCATGAATATGTCTATAAAACATCTGTTTTACAAGGAAAGAAAAGCTACCACCATCTTAGAAAGTAGAAAAAAATATTAATTTAAAAGTCTCTCAGATCTTCTTTGTCTATTTAAGTAGTATTTAAGCATATATTAGCACATCCCTGGGAAATCTGGTCTCAGTATTTAACAGACTGATGATTCTTGTCCTTCCTATCTTCTTCAAATGTCAGTGTTCAAGATGCACCCTTCCTTTCCTCTTCCCACTTCTCTCTCCTGGTTAGATCTCAATCACTGGAAAGCTGGAAATTACTAAATATGTTCTCAATAAGATCCCAACTGTTTGGGAGGAAGGAAATCTAACAAAAAGTTCAAAGTATATGGTGTTTATCAAGCAGGTATGAAGATGTAATTTTAATATACATGTTTCAGCAAAATTACATTTTAGAAATACAGGAATACCTCGAGAATAAGACCCAGATTCAGTAAACTACCCTAGAACATCCTTAGTCTGAAACACAGCAATGGAACTAGGCATGCTTAAATACTTCCTTTAACTAGCACCTATCATGAATTTTGCTGCTGTTTCCAAGCATGTCCATGCTTAGAATTAATATGGCAGCTAAGACAAATTTCCTTGGAGTGCAGACCTCGTAAGCTAGTAGTTATCTAATTTCCAAGGCTACACTATCATAGATTACTTAGTTGTGCTTGATCTACACCACTAATCTAACATCTTCCAAGAATGAATCACATTTCAAAATATAATCTCAAAACACTACACCAGCTTTGCTGTCAGATTCCATAATGTATTGTTCCATCTTTAACTAGGAGGAGGTAGTTTCAAAATAAACAAAAAGGAAGTGGTTCTTCATAACGTGTTAAGCTGTGGCACTCCTTGCTAACGCAGATGCTTGGAGTTTACAGGGTTCAGAGGAAGACCGTACAAGTTTACAGAACAGAAATCCACTGTGGATACTAAATACAAAGAAACTATGCCTGCCTGAGTACATCTCTGGGATGGCTGAACACCGAGGGATTACTTACTAGAAATACGATATATAATTTCCTCATTCTTACATGCTTCCTTAGGAATTCAGTTTTGGCCAGTGCTGAGGACAGGTGACAGTCAGAAGGAGTGGATAGTCCACCTCTCTGCTGGATGTGTCCTGGGACTCAGCTCATAGGCTCATGCTTATGCTCACACCTTCCATCTGTGAGAGAATGATGAGGAACAGATAAACAAAATGTAAAATACTAAAGACTAAAGCTTAACCAATCCTGTCTCAGCCTACTGGTTAAAATTAACCAAAATATTTCAGCATTTTTAATTTTCCCATTTTCAGAAAAAGACTATTTTTTTCAGTTTCACCCAAAACTAAGTAGCTCCAGATGCAATTTTAGAATAATACATTTTCATGAATTTTAAATGTAGTTCACTTTTATATTCAAAATGAAGATTAAAACAAAAGTCAATGCCATTAAAAAAAAAATCAAAACTGCTTTACTGACTACCTTCAGTCCTATGTGTCAGTTACTAAGTTTAATGAGATTTAAGTCAATTTGACCAGCAATACAGATATCCCATAATATTCTTAGTGACAACATGGAGTAAAAATGATTGAATATGTGAAAATCACTCTTTTGTCTCTTCCAAATGCCAATCTATTCCTATCAGAACTAGATATAAGAAGAAATTCTACCAGAAGTTTTCCTCATAAGACTGCCAGCTGATTCTGCAGATTCAGCTAAATAACATACTTCTGTGCACTTCTCCGAACAGATCCTCCTAATCACTCTTAACAGGATATGAGAATAAAATTAGAAAAAGGGTGTGGGGGGGTACGGGACTAAAGGAACACAGAAACCTGACAGATCTGTATGTGCCATTTAATACTTTGTAAGCAGCCAAGTATTTATTTTCATCTTTTAGGTTGAAGTTTTAAGATGCTGAATCTTGAAATGGATTATAATTGTGCCAACTGAAATTTCATTTGAATAGACTTGGCAATCAATTCCACCACTTATAATCCATAAGAAACGCTTTGGCTGCAGTGTAACACAAAGGACACAGTTACTTGGAAACATGCTTTCAGTTTCAGGAATGAAAGGCAAATTTTAACGTTTTAAGAAATCTACTGCTTTGTTTAGATTGAAAGCGAGAATTTTGCCTCCTGTCTTTATTCTAAGCAATGCAGTACTTTCCTTAAAATGCTGAAAATTGCCTTTCATTACCAAAATTGAAAGCATGTTTATGAGATCTTAGCTAGGTGGGATTACCATCAAGGTGCACAGATTCCACATACTGCTTGAGGCTCAGGGTCATCCTGTCTTTTTTTTTTTTTGTGTGTGTGTGCGTGCGTGCCCCTCTGAGGTTTGGAATCTAACCCATCTTTATATCATTTTTCATATTGGTTTTCCTGTGGCTTAAATCAATCCTCCCACCATCCGTAAGAGGCTACTGGGATCTGTCCTGTGAACCCCCTTCTTTTCCCCTAGCATACTTCCCTGTGATGATCTCATTCTCCACTCATATATTTTCACATTCCATCTGCAGGCCGATAACTCATAAATCTGCCCCTTCTTTCATGTCATCTCATTTCATCTCATCCTGTCTCATGTCTCTTCTTGGGTGTTTTGTTGTCAGTTATGAGTCATTATAAGTCAGACTTAATTCACATCTGAAATTCTCTTCCATCCCCACATTACACTTTACCATTCAGTGGATGATACTTAGGTCCAATTAATGCCCTGCCTCCCAGAAAAAAAAAAAAAAAAAAAAGGAGAGGGGGTAAAATTAATTTATCTTTTTGAACATTACCAAGGAAAACAAACTGTTACACCACAAGTTCAGGAACTTGCAGCATGAAGGCACTCAACTAAATCATCTTTATAGCTTAATTTTTATTTTCTTCTTCCCCAGTGTCTGTTGCATTCGGATTTTACAGCTGAAATTTAACTACCACTGCTACCTAGCCTTCATTTTGCAGATCTGCTCATGCTTGGGCTGCATAATAGGTGCAAAGGTGTCATTTTAAAATAGAGTTATCTGAACATCATCATCAGCTTAACAGCACCCAGACAGCTTTGTTACCATTCAAAACTCGATCAATTTCAAAAAAAAAGTAACCAATACTCCCTCACTTTTTGAAACCATTGCCTTGGTTACAAGATACAGCAAACAGGAATGAAAGCAGTGGTTAATACAATTAACTGGAATAATCCCGTATCACGTCCTGCATTAGTACTTTCATACTAATTCTTTTTACACTCAGTGCAGAGTGTTTTGAAATGAGATGGACGAGGGCTTTAAGAGTTTCTTTCACAAAGTTTTCCACATAGGAAAAGTTCCTTTTAAAATGCCATCATCTAGAAATACTGTGATAATATACCGGTTTCAAGTTGTTTAGGTCCCAAAATTACAGAAAATTTGTGAAATAGAAGTACTCCTTCTCTAAAAAGCAAAATGAATAAAAATTTCCACCTCTAGAATAGAGGAACACTTGTTAGTAGCTTTGTTATACTATAATCGCAAATTATTTAGAAAATAGTGTATTGGGGTACTGTTAGAAATAGGAAAGGGTTGCAATGAGTATTAAGTGTAATTTTTTCCTTAAAGAAAGAAAAAAATATCTTCCTTTCTAAAGTAGCTTGTTACCTATAGTTATTCAAGTTATATATATTTTGAGATTTCTAAAAGGAAAATCTGACTTTTAGATTCTTCTTATTTTGAGGGAATCAGATGTGCTACAATGATCACAACCTGAAATTCAACGTCAAGTCTATTTTCCCCATAATTATGAGTTTTTAGAACTAATAAGATCAGTAATTCATGTCTAAAATACTGGATGTTTGGTTTGACCACCAATTTTTCACCTTTGGTTACAGAATTGATGCTTAATTTCAGGCTAAAGAATGTTCTCAGACATTATTCTTCCTATCTATTGTCAATAGAAATTGGATAAGGGTCATTTCTCCTATTTTAGGATGTTAATTTTTCTCAAGGAATTATGTAACTGAGTAGTTTAACATTTTTTAATCTTAAGTATACTTAAGGTTTTAAAGTTAAAATTATTTAGATATAATTCATCTTCTTATAGGAAAACAATATCACTCTTCAAAGTTGAAGAGAAACATTTTCTAAGTCTGCATTAGGAGATTCTGACAGCAGTTTCCTGTTCTTACAGAAAAAACTGTAGCTCCAAAAACAGACTGAGGATGTTTCTGAAGGCCAGTGATCTGGCTCAAGGTTCAAAAACACTTGGCAGTAAAACAGGATTTTTCACCACTGACATTACATTTTAAGAAGCTGCTGCTATGAACTGCTTGCACTGGAGGACTGATGTTACAAAAACAGCCAGTAAAGACAAAATAGTGAAATGAGAAGTGCTACTAATGCTGCACCATCGCTCACTAGTCCCTCATCTTACATCTGTAATATGTGTGGCAAGATCTGGTGCTCCAGGATTTAATACCAGTTTTGCATACAAGGCATTTGAGGCTCACTCAGATGAAATAAACTGTACAAAGTCAAACAAGCAGTTTAGTAGCAAAATCCAAAAGAGTACATCCATATACTTTGTACCAACACACTGCCAAAACCACTGGAATGCACACATAATAAAATACAAACTTGAATAAATATCTGGAAGCTGATACAGTGTGTAGTTCAGGAATTAAAAAAAAAATATTTAGAGTGACTTTGCTGTTTACTCATATTTACTTGTCAAACAGTCACATATGGAATAACATTTAACAAGGATGATTTTTCACATATTAGTGACATAACTGTTAAATATATACCCTTAGGAGGTACCCTCTGCTTCTGTGGTTTTGTTTAAAGCATGTGATTATGAACAACAGCTTGCAATGTTCATTAAAATGATTTAATGATTGTACTGAGATAATATAAGACTGTAATGATTACAAAAGTAAAGCATTTTCTTTGAATGTATTTTGTATTGATGCATTCTGCAAACACAACTCTTACCTCTAAGCCTGTTAGCAATCCCATTTGCTTCACTAAATTAATCAGTTATAAATGGACCTAGCTGCGTGCAGGCAATGTCTCTACGCTATTATCATAATACAAAAATGTATGTTATTACTTGTTAGTGTTAAGTTATCAGTTTGCACATCCATAGCACACCTGTCATCAAGTGCTCACAAGGAGCTTTGAAAAGTAATCACACAATTGTTCTCCTTGCTTTCAAGATGCTTAGCACAGACTAAACAGACACCTTTACTACTTTTCCTTTTACATACTGATAAAAAAAAATCTCTTTTCCTATAATCTATAAATTCACAACCTTTCTGCAAATTGTCCTTCCTATCCAACTGCAAAGTCCCAATTCTACATTGGGAATAACTGTAAATGCCTAATTTCTTTCCAACTGTATATAATACATTTATGCTATTAAAATCTCAATAAAATCCTTAAGATACACAAGACCTTCTGGGCACCAACAGCAATTTCACCCTTACTGTAGCCTACAACTTACACAGTTCCCAGAATCTAATTCAGTACAAGATTACTGGGAGTTTGATAGTGCCTTCTTCAGGTGCTGAATGAGCCCATCAGCAGTGTAAGCCTGTTCACTTTGCTACAGTGGGAGTCAGAAAACAGCCAGCTTTATTCACAGCTCCAAGGATGGCCATCAATTCTCTGGGTAGTAACGGGGTAAAATCTGACCTAGCTAACAGATTGGATGGAATATCCAGCAACATAAATATGTACTGAGCTTCAAGCTGCAACTCTTACACAGTACCTTTTAAATCATAGCTTCATCTTTAAGTTTCATAGTGGCATACTGAAGTTTTAATGCTTCTTGTAACTATTTCATTCATTTTATGCTGTTTTTATCATCACCTTTTGTGAGTCATCACGAATATTTTCCTTCAAGCCTTTAAGTGCACAAACTGCAGAGTACCCCACACCGTGCACCAATTACTGGTATACATGTACATAATGAAATCACAAATACCTGAACACCTTGCGGATCAGTCTCTGATGTCTTCTCTTTGTGCCTCTTGAGTTCACTTTGCCAGATTACTATTTCATCTTTTTAGGGGCAGCCTGAGATAGATACGCTGTAACAGCAGAAGAAAAAGCTGAGTACCAATTCTGTCAGAAAATGCAGCATAAACACAGCAAAAGCCAAAACATCATAAAATAAACACATTATATATATATACTGTTACACCCTACAGTCTGTTTTACTGATAAATGTGATATATCATACAGAGCAGATAAACAAGAAACAGTAAACAAACCATGTCATTTCATAGAAAATGATGGAAAACTTTTTCACTGTTCCTTTAAGCAAGGGTTTTGAACTTTCTGAACTGGGCTGCATTCAAGATTACTGTCACTGCCTGATGCTTTGCTTCATCAGTGCTTCTTTGCCACCCCTTCTTTTCCCCCCTCTTCAGTTGAACCAGAAAAGCATATTAGCTCAAGCACAACATCTTCCCTTTCATATACAGACACATCCCTGGCTTCAGACTACTGACCCAGAGTATACACATTAGGGCATAATTACACTTGAAAACAAATAAAAAACTTTCCTCTGTTCAGGAACTGGGAGAAGCAGAAACCATTTGCTGTATGCCAAGGCCAAACTGTCTTCCATGTAAACTGGTGTAAGCTTGCACTGAGTAGAATGATGGCCTGACAGTTCATACAAGCAGAGAACTTGGTCACTGAATGTATAAAAACATCTGTGAAATACCTTTACATTTACCACCAAAAAACACATGTCCAAAGAGAACACTATTCTCTCCAGGACACTGAGAAAATTTTTGTGAAAGAGTCAGTTCCCTGACTTAAAGATAAATCAGCACAAATCCAAATACTGGAACTTCACATAGATCTGGATGAGGATGAAAGTGTTACAGTGTCCCAAGCAAATCTTGATTGTCCTATATTTTCCTTGACTTCTGTCTTCTTTCAGAAACCCAATCCAAAACCTGTCTTCCCCTTCAACATCCTTGGGCCTCAGGCCACTGTGAGCTTTTCCCTGATGGAAGCAACTTGGGTATGACCTAGTCAAAACAAAATTTTGATCATTCAATAAAACACAACTCCCCTTCTCACTGCTTCCTCCAAATCCTGCTAGCCTGTGGTATAGAGCAGTTAGTAGACATCACCTGATGCAGAGCTGAAATACTCCCCCACCAGAGGTCAGCAGGCTAGACCAGTCGTCATGTGTGTATCATAATCACTTCCAGACGGCTTGTGTCAATTTACCTACAGAAGCAGTTATTGCTGACATGCTCTATCAATTTAAGGTTCCTGTTCATCTGAAAAAATAGCAATCCACGTGACCTTCATTTGAACATTCCTTACTCTCGTATCTACCGCAAGTACATCGTTAAAAAAACATACATATTGCAATCACAACTACTAGTTGTGTATAATACTTGCTTTCTTCTACCTTCAAAAGTTAATTGTCATTGAAGGTAAGCAGCCCTCCATACTAGGCACAACCAGGGCCCGTAACAGGCACAAGCCTACACGTAAGTCATAGAATCATAGAATCATAGAATATCCTGAGTTGGAAGGGACCCTTAAGGATCATCAAGTCCAACTCTTGACACCGCACAGGTCTACCACTAGTCTCTACTACCTGCTGCTGCTTAAGGTCTCTGCCTCTCCTTATCACTAGATACCGATTTCAACAGATGGTAGATCGATGTCTTACATGCTCAAAGGTCACACAGCAGCATGTAGGTCTAATTCAAACCCAGTTCCAGTACCAGACGACTGACATGTCAGTTCCCAGTTTCAAATGCTTCTGTTTGCTTAGGTTTGCCTTTATGGTAACATCAGAATCTGCACATGAATTTCAAACAGGTTCTAAAATGCATCCACCATGCAGGCAAAGGACTTTCCATAAGAGTATTCTTTCGTTAATACTGGTGAGTTTGAATTTCTCATGAATACTGCTGCAAGCCTAAAATTTTCAAAACCCAGGGCACTGAGCTTTTGAAAAATGCAATCTTCATTACAGCAATTTCTGAAGATTTTAGAGCCTTCTGAGGATTCCTGGGGCTGACAACCCAAATTCACTAATTATTTTCCAATCTCAAGGCTTGATACGTTGTGAAATGTTCTGGAGCGGACCATATTTGGAAGAGATCTGATGATTTACACATCAATAACATCCCATGGATTTCAAAGCCCTATCCTTTCCTTGTAACCAAATTCTGCCATTAGCAGCAGGTATATAATAACACTAAAGTAAACTAGTGAGGCTTGAGTAGAAAAGAATAGATAATGAAAACTCTGAGCACTGGGTAACTGCAGGGAATCTAAAGCTGAAGATCTAGTAATTGGTCTTATCTCTATCACAGTGCAACAAAATAAGCTGAGAAGCGCAAGAACGTCTGACAAGGCCCTAGGGCTCTTTGCAGCTTGCAGAGAAGCTTCATTGTTCTGAAGAATTTTAAGGATGACCTCATATGGAGAGAACAAAAGAAATTTCTTTCTCCTGCCATGCTGCTGATGTGGGTTTATGGAAGGTGTACTTATCTACATGCTTTTCCCTTCATGCAAGCCACAGCAATGCTGAAGTTTCACTGTTGGGTTCTCCTTTACATCTCTTCTCAGGCACAGTAAGTGGTAGGTGCACAAAAAACAGCTGCTGATGGAGCCCAAGTTCTGCTGTCTCATGGTGGAGAAGCCCATGGGAAAACTCTAAAGACAGGTATCTCCTCCTTGAAGTTTCTGCATTTCAACCTGTGCTTTGCCCAAGCCTTACTCAGGATACATTTTCATTCAGTTCATTATTGCAAATATTTAGATTTAGAGATTTATTTGTGATTATTATACACTGAACCAGTTGCTGACACCTCACCTTCCAAATTGAAGGAAACACCCAATTTTGTACAATGGGAAGAGAAGGTGGTCCTTCCTTCCCTAATCTCTAATACAAACTCAGAACACCAGGTAGAAATGCAGACACACTTCATGTCTTTTTCTGGATGATGTGTAAGTGCCTGAGTAACAGGTTTATGAGACTCTTCCTCCAAACACAGAGCAGCTTCTTTCTGAAATATGCAAATGATATGGCACCAAGACATACAGAAATCCACATTGCATCAGTAATATCAAAAGATCCTTCTTCATCTTCAAAAAGAGTTTCAGTATATCTACTTCACAAACAATTGCACTCTCTTCTGATCCAGACATTCAGGAAAACAGTTTGCCTTCTAATGAGGAATGCACAGAGAAGGCCACGGGAGAAGCAGAGCAGTAAGATAACAGGACTTTAACTGGCAAAAGCTGAGTAACAATGCTCATTGCTCACAGTGAGATACAGCTACTGCCATGTGATCTGTTATCTCTTCAGAGCATCAATTCTTTCTGGGTAACCTGGAGTTTACATATAAAAAGGCATTTGAGTGAGCAGGCTGTAGTTGATCGAAGTCACATTCTGCATGGTAACAGAGTGGAGATTACTTTCAGAATGCTCTTCATGCCCACCCTCTACCCAGACCTGACCAGTACACAAGATTTGTCAGAGAAGGTGCCAAAAGCAGACTCGTTTATGTTTTCCATTACAATATCTAGTTTAGAGAAGAACTGTAAACCTTGCTTATGAGGATTGTATATTTCTATAGGTAAAACTTGCATCAGTGTCCTTCCATTTTAAGACATGGTAATAAATAGAATAGACATGACATGATTACTTCTTCTTTCTCCATGAATGTTTTACTGAACAGGCATGGGTTTCTAGAAACAGCAAATTCTTGTTTTACAGACCATCCCTTCATCTGTCTGGAGGAATAAGGATGGTTCAGCAAATCCTTGTTATAGCTGTTTTCAATGACCAACCACTTCCACATTCCCTGAAACATTTATCAAAGAACTAGTTCTACTAAAACCAGAAGGGAATGTGTGCATTTTTTCATTTGCATGGTATTACGGATTTGCAGCTTTGTTTTACTCTGGGAGAAACTACAGCATGTGTCTTGCAAATTCCCATTAAAAATAGGTGGAGTTTTGTCACTGGAATGAGTTTTGTGCTATTCTAAGTGCACCAAACAGTATCCTTTTCCTTGGGCAGCATGAAAGTACTACGCTTGGGATATAGACTACAAAAAAGGAACCAAAGCTTGTATTTTTAATGCCCCAACCCTTTCACTGCCTACAGCCCTCAAGCCAGCTGTACTTACTACTTTAACAGAACAGTGGCAGAAGAGAAACTGGAAAAAAACATAATTTAAATGTAAGCAAATGACCTCATCTACAACATGGATCTGTGGCAAGCCTGATTCCACCACTGGTGAAGTCCAAGAGAAGTTTCATCTGCAAAGAAAGTAGCAGCAGATCTTTACTCAATATAACAAAGCATTAGCAGTCTGTAATTTTGTATAGTTAAAACTTGTTGACTATAGCTGGGTCAAGTAAATGGTTATGTCATATGATACTGCTTTCAAGTTTCCTGATGCTCGCACATAGTCCTCAGCTTTCTTCTATTTTTTTTCATTTTCTAATAGAGACTAGAAAGAAACAGGGTCAGAGAGGATATTAATGGGACGTTTGGGTTACCCTGCACCTTCCTTTTATAGCAGATGACAGATTTTATCATTCTTATCTCGTGATTAAGTTTTACTAGCGAAGGTATTGTCAAGGCTTTCAAGTCTAACTTAAATCACTCCAACATCAACTGACACAGCAAAATCAGGACTTTATTTAAACAGCCTGAAAGAAATTATTACTGGCAGACCATAGCACCCAGACAAAAATGGATACCTTTGTTTCATGACTTGTAAAAACACACCCTTTGCAACCTCTAGTGCACACCTAGCAGTTCTCAAAACCCAACAGCTGCGTGGTACTACTGATACTTATCCTAGACTGGGTGATGAAATCCACAAGGAATACCATTTAAATAGAAAATCTGACCCATAATGTTACTGTCTGAATCTATAGATCTGCTCTCTGCCAAACTCAGAGAGTCCAAGTCTGCCATCATCCGTCCCATCTGCCCTTCCAGTGACACCGTACCAGCAACCTCACGCCGATAAACCACCTAAGGAGCTTGTTCCAGGAAGGGCCTCCAACACTGCATGCAGAGAGGGCA